GAATTTCTATGTTTCTGTTACTGCATGGTAGTCACCACCTTTTTGATTAAGTGGACAACATTAAATAGCTCTACATTGTTACAACATAGAACTAATTAACAAAAAATACTGACATTCCTTTGCACAATATAAAAAGATCGTCATTATCAGATTGTCATCTCATGTTGCTGTCATAATAGTTAAAAGTCTGTATTAATAACACTAGCAACCAAAATTACAACAATGATAAGCCAAATAACAAAAAATCAGATGTGCTTTGACAGCAAACAATTTTTTACAAGATTCAGTGACAAGTGCACATTAACATGGTCTATCCACTTAGTGTTCCATCCCTTGTCAGCTCTTACAAATTAAGTATAGCAAATAACAACTTAAGCATGTCAAATAATAACTTAATTATTCCAAATAATAAGTTGAGTTTAGCAAATGATAATTTAAATATTACATATAATAAGTATATCAAACAACAACTTAACTACTATAAATAACAAGTTGAGTTTAGAAAATCACAACTTAAATATAGTATATGACAAGTTAACGATATAAAAAAACAACTTCACTGCTCTAAGTAACAAGTTGAATTTAGCAAATAACAACTTAAATATTATATATAAGTATATCAAATAACAACTTCAGTATTGCATTTAGTTGAGCAAATCCCATACTGAGTTCAGTAAAACATTCAACATATAGTTATTGACAACTACATCTAGTGAAATATAACAAATTACAACTTTGCAAATACCAGTTATTCTAAGTAATAAAAATGAATATAGAAATAACAAATTCACTGTTTTAAATAATAAGTGAAGTATAACAAATTAACTATTCAAAATAACAAATCAAGTTATGAAAATAACAACTTTTATGCTTGAAATAACAAGTTAGTAAGAAGAGAAAACAAAACAGAACATGACCTTTGTTAACCATTCAAGTCTAATGTTATTAACAATAGCACAAAGACACCATACAAAATCTATAACTCTTAAAACCCATCTTATAGCTAAATTGAGCATGAAATAAGTGAAAGATGGTGATTGTGCAAGTCAAAGAAGATTAAACGAATCAATTTGATACGTAAATTCAAGAATAATATATAAACATGGTGACTTAGCAAGCCGAATTGAAATGAAATAAGTAAAAAGAAATTAAAATCAAATAAAAGTAAAGAAAATCTTTCAAGCTAGCTATGCAAATATCAAAAGAGTGAGAGTTAGTAATGCTTTATTAGTTTCATAAATCTTATTTTCATGATCCAGCTTCCAGTGTCCTCTTTGATTCTTCATTGAAGGTGGAGATGAACAGTGATAATGGCTTTCTTCTCCCCTTCACTCATTCTAGCTCTTGGCTTTGAATGTTGAAGAAGAAGGGTTAGCCTCTCTTTCTTTTTACATCCAATTGCATCCTTTGGTTCTGTTAATGGTGTTCTATCTCTCTTACCCATGATGATGAAGCCAATTTTGGAACATAGAACCAGATTGGGAAAGATCGGGGGTAGAGAGAGAGGGATCCAGTGGAAGAGATGATGAGTGCAATTAAGATTTTAAGAGATGAGTTTGGGAGGATGGAGCAAATAAAGATGGAGATGACGAGAGAGGTTGAAAAATGGATATGGGAAGATTATATGAAAAGCAAAAGCACATTTCTATTTTTTAACCAATATTTCATAATTCTTATTTGAGACCAGGTCCTTGACAGAAATTAGATAAATTCAAGAACTGGAATCAAAATTTTATATATTCAAGGGTTTTTATTTGCCATTTCCCCTTATTTTTATTTAATTTAATTATTATTCTTATATTATATATTTAGATTTTCATTTATTTATTCTTTTTATAATTTATATATATCACAAAAATTTATGATCTACAATTTATTCAATGAGATTTAATTTTGAATACTATTAATTAATCTCATTTACATATAACTTAAATCTTAAAATAAAAAAAAAATGGAATGTTACAGGATCTTTGAAACAATGATTTTTTCCTTTTAATTAGATATAATATAATCCTTTGTTATTTAATGTTGGATCTAATTAGAGAGTTAATATTGATTCTAAATATAAGACCTATTTAATATAATTATCAAATTTTTCTAAATTAACCCAATTGATATTCCCTCAATAATAATCAAGTAGGGGAGGGAGGAAAAAAAATAAAAAGATGCTTAGAGTGTTTTTTTTTAAAAAATTTATCATATTAACTAATTCAACAAATATAATTAATTTACTTAAATTAGTTAATTAGGTCTGACATTAAGAACCGGAGGAGTATTATGTGGATTGTGTTTTTTTGTTTCTAAGTAGGAACCAAAATACTAATAATTCTCTTATAAGGGGCCTCAAATTTTATTTCCCCGTTTTAATTTTGAGCACGCTTAATTTGAGCTTATATTCACCAAACCTAATGAACTTAAAAATTCTCAAAATTCATAGACATACAAGAGAAAACATTTAAAAGGTTCAAAACCAGATCACCCTCCTATGAGCACAAAAAATTCAATTAAATTCTGGGTTGTAGAATTTTATAATTTTTGACTAATTTTAAAAATGCATAGCTTAAAATTATACAATTTCACATTATTTCGAACCTGATTTATTTTTAATATTTATGTGTCTGCTTTAAGGTAGAAAAGCTTTCAAATTCAGACCACACACACAATAGTAAACAATTTTTGAAAACACAATTGACTTTTGACAATAAAGTGCACAGCGTGGAGATTCTTATTGATCAGAATGCCTAATATTTGACATATTTGGCCCACACATATGAACATTTAAATCAGGTGATTTATGCTTGTCTGAGTTAGAACCATATCCTAAGCTATAAATACCCCACCTTTTGGGCCCAATGGGACCCAAAGTTCCCCTAACCAAATTAATATAACTAATTAAAATTCAAAAATATAATCCAATTAAAACATGACCAACTCACGCCAAACCCCTCCTAACATAATTCAATGCCTTAAAAAAATCCAATTAATCCATCATCAACTCAAATCAAACTACTCCTAACATAATTCAATAAGTGAAACAACAATGGCTAAATTAACCTAAGCCAAAACATCAGTATAATTGACAATGAGGTTTCTTTTATTAATTATGACATCTAGTTTTGTTTGGGTCGAGGGGAAATGGGGGTCATGGGGTTTTTTTTTATAAATGACTTCAATTTTAAAATTTCAAACAAATGGAGTTATAAACTTTTAATAGAAAAGGATGTGAAAAATAGTGCAAAAATTAATTGAGAACTTTTAACACCACTTTTTTCTTCTTCTTTTAAAAAAATTAATAATCAAATCAAAATTATTCATTATTTTATATCCATTATTTCTTCCTTGTTTGAAGACCTAACTCTTGATGCCTGAGTTGAAAAATCCTAGGTGTACTAGAAATCTAGAGTAACCTTTCCAATGTCTACCTGAGATAGGATAAACACATCTAATTGCGCCCTCCCTTTACCATAACTAGAGTCTTTACAAGAAAAATTACGTTTTCCACCTTGCTTTTGTTGTAGAACCATTTTAGGTGAACATCTACTATAAATTTATATTTAAGCTTTTTATTTAATATATATTTACATTAAATAAAATTCATGGCGAAGATAATTTTTATCTTTCAATTCTATAGCCAGTTCTACAGCTAGTCTATTTAATAATATTATTAAAAATTATATTTACCTTGTTTTAACCTCTTTCAAAACTTAAAATAAGATAGGAGGTTTCACTTGTGAGCAAACGTCAACAAAAACGAATAGTGTGTTACTAGATCAAATCAACCAATTCTTATTTTTAGAAGGGCTCTTGTATCATTGTCACAATATTATTATCAATACGGGTTGGGTTTAGTAAAAGGGATTCATATTTATTGTTTGACAGTATCTCAAATAGGATTGCTTCTAATAAAAGAATAACCCATGCTTAACCAAGAAAGGTCACAATATTATTAATGTCATCTAAAATTAAGTCAAATAGCACAATCACAAAATTATACAGCGGGGGGCTGAGACAGAAGTTGAGAGTTTGAAATATTAAATATCAATAATAACAATATTAGTTAACCATAATAATTATAAACTTGAAAATTACACTCTTGGACTGAACCTTCTTTTTTCTTTTTTACAAGTCAAAAATTGAACTTCATTTATGCATGTTTGATTTCGATGGTCTAACGTTTGTTTTTTTAAAAAAAAAAAAGTGTACGGATGGTACGTGCGTCGCATCGCGTGGTCCCAAGCCTTTGAACGTACGTGATTGAAGGAAGGGAGAGGCTACTGTGTCTGCGATGATGAACGCAGCACGTGCAAGCATCCATTTTCGGAGCTTTTTTTGTGAGCTGGAAATATCGGAACTTTATCGATGCCCGCCTCGCTGCTCTCTCTCATCGCCACCTTCTACAAAAAAGAGGGGAGGAAAAAAAGTTGATGCCAGAAAGGAAAATACCTCAATCATTTTCTTGTCTCCCAAACACGATTCTTCTCTCGCCGAGAAGAAGGTGGAGTGGAGGGGCAAAGAAAGCAGATCAAAATAATATAAAGTTTCGATATTTTGGAATCTCACAACGGTCACCATTCACCAACTGTTTATCCATTCAAACGCTTAGATCTGAATGTCCAATGCGCTTTCTCTTTTGGAGGGTTTCTAAGACGACAGTTTTTTGATCAACTGGTTATGCTTGTAAGTGGTAAGCCATTTCTACATTGGGAAGAATGTCATGTATTCTGTTGGGCTTTCCAGATTTTCTTTTTTGAATTTTGAATTTCTGTTCTATTGTGTAGTTCATCTGATTTCCCCCCAAAACCTGCGAAACATATAAACATGCAGTTGGATTATTGCATATGTTAATTCTCATTCTCATTTTTCCTTTACAGGGCGTGAGGGAAGAATTCATTCAATGTTATTGGATCTCCTGTTGTAATGAAACTTTGACTTGCGCCCTTTTTCTCGGTCCTGGGGCTTGAGTTACTCGCATTGAGTTGATTTGTTTCACTTTCACACTGGACCTATCATGGTTTTCTGGGAAGGATATGTGAGCGACGAAGTGATGGGCACGTTTGCCCCTATTGTGCTTTATTGGATATATGCTGGATTTTATCAGTTGTTACCACCTTTGGACAATTATCGGTTACATTCTAGAAGAGAAGAGGAAGAGAAGAATTTGGTGCCACTCTTGGCCGTGGTGAAGGGTGTTTTACTTCAACAGCTTGTTCAGGCAACCGTGGCACTACTATTGGTAAGTCCTTCGACAATTGAGCTCATTCCTACTAATTTGTGTTTGAGATTTGTGGCTAGTAGCATTCCTAAAGAAACCTTCGATTACATTTTAAACTCGTCCCCTGCATTTCCTTGTTGCTTTCGCCTGCATGAACTCTTTTTGTCTTTTTCTTCATCTATTTTCTCTTTTGGGATACCCCACTTTTTATTTTGGATCATTCCCCTTTCATTTGACTTGCAAAGTGATTTGACGACTGACTTCACTTAGAGAAGCTAAAACCCGTGCATCAAATTAAATAGCCAGGTTATTATTTTTTCCTTTAAACAACTGATCATAACTGAATGAACTGATAAACAGCCTTGAGTCCCCCCCCCCCTCTATGTGGATTGCGGGGGTGAAGAGAGTGTATTCTGGGGATAATAAAGTTGAATTAAAAAAGGTTCAGTCCACTCTACCTTGCGCTGAAATTCATTTTAATTCTGGCGAATGGACGTGGAACATTCTTATACCATGCGAGTAAACATTTCAACCAAGAACATATGATGACGATGGATTAATATCTCTTGCTTACGTATATAATAAAGAAGTTTGTTGAGGGGATAAAACTGTAGTTCCTCACTGAGAAGAACTCGGTGATTATCTCAAGTCAATGAGGCAAGAAATCTCTTGCTTTTTTAAAAATAAATTTTTTGCAATTTTGGTGCTTGACTGTGGAAAAGTGAAAGGGGAAGGCGTAGGGAATTAACCCTAGAATATCAAGCTTACATGAAGCTTGAAGGCTAAGGTTGGAGACGTGTGAGCTATCAGCTTATTGGCTCCGACATTGTGTTTGCATGCTTAATATTCTTCTCTCACAACCTTTTCTTTTCTTGGCCATAAGCTTACCATACTTCGTTCACTTCTCAACTTCTCTTAGTCCAGGCTGTGGTTTTGAATCAGCAACTTTTCATGTTATCATTTTATGAAATTTCTTCTGGTATATCATGTATCATATACATTTTTTTTGGGATCTTTTCATCTGTGTTCTATTATATGACAGTTAAGCAATGGCAAAACATAGTTGCTGACTAATCCAATAAGGTCACAAACATCCTTTGATTGAAATTGGAGGCATATCTATTTGCACTTTTGTATATGGCAATCAACTAATAAACTAGCACCTGAGGAAAGCTATAGCAAATATGAGTTAAAAGATAAGCTGCTTGACCAACTTGCTTGTATAAATCATAATAAGGACTTGAAAACATGAGCTGAATCATCTCTTTTGCTGAATGAAGTGGTTTGATATATCTAAAATAGGTTTTTTCTTTAAATGAGAGTTGAGTTTGTCCTGATGATCTCAGGATTTTTCACATGGGATGCAAAAGAAGCATAAATTTATCTGCCAAATCTGTGGTGTTTATTGGTTTGAATAGAATGATAGGCTTTTGATTAGCAATTCTTTCCACCCCATCAATTTTTGCGATTGGTTTCTTTGGGGGTTGGTTCCTTGTGGGTCTTCAAAGGGATTGGAAGACCCTTCTGTGTTACTGCCTGGGTTGGTTTCTTTTGTTTGTGGATGATCTCGTCTCTTCTTTTTTACATGCTGTATTATTCTGTATTTTGTTAATAATTTCTTTTCCATTGTAAAAAGAAAAATAAATGAAAATACTACAGCTTGAATAGAAGGGTTTAAACATGGCGGAGAGAGTTAAATGCTGAATAATTTATGCAATATGTAGCATGTTCCAAGGGAAGTTGTCTTAAAAGTTGAATAATGTAGCTGAGTTGTGTATGTGTAGGCAATATGCTGAATCTTCAAGGAAAGCTGCTTTTCTTTCTTGTAAACGAAAAGAACTGGAAACAATTGAAAATCTTGTGATATGAGCATTGGAAAGTCTTGACAGTGCAACATGTATTGCTAGCTATTAATTTATCTTCTATGCTAAATTAAACCTCGTAGAAGTTTTCAGATGTTGCCAGGAAATTACAGTTGTCTCTTGTCTTGATTGATGAATATTTGGGGAGTTAACATATTTTGTTTATTATTATTAGGATTATTTTGCTGTCTATCAAACCAAAAGCCATGTTTCCATCTGCAGTCCTGCACAATAAATTAATGATAGAAATTTGCAAAACTATTTACATCTGTTATATTTATGAATGAGTTATTAATTATTAGTATTATCCATCTGTTTCTGGGCTCCGACAGAGTGTGGTAGATATGTTAATAAATGTCATTCTTGAGTTTCGTAACGGTGGTTTTAGCTTTTTGGGGGAGTTTATGCGTTGACATGGTATTAGAGCCTCTTCAGTCTTGAACCTAGCTGTAAAAAGTTGTCCTTGCTGCCCTAACTTCTAGAATAACGTTTGGATAGGTCCATGCCTGGTCCTTGCTTAAGCTCTAAAGGCTTTTGCATCAAATGGAAGGTCAGAATCATCAATAATGTTGACCTTAAGAGTTCCCTTAACTAACTAGTTGTTTGTTTCCTTGGCATTGTAATACATTTGTAGATGTCCCTATTTCCTTTTATGTGCCGCCTTTATAGTTTGTTGATGATAAGGGTGAGAAACATTGCTCAATGATTCAAATTCTTTATTGTTTCTCAGATTATCTGTAAAATTTCAATCTGCCAAAGATGGTGAAGATGTCACATTGAAATTTCCCCCCAAAACCTTTTAGTTGATTGTTTAACCCAAATTTCAATTGTTAGCGGGTTAATGCTGTTGTTTGAGCTGTATGGTTTCTAAGGTCATTCTTGAACTCTGCATGCATGCACCTCAATAGCCAAATTTGGGGGGAGAGTTCTCTAGCCCACTTGAGTACGCTTTTGTCTTTCTGTATTTTTTTTTTTGTCCTTTTGTTTTACTGCTATTATTAAGCAGTCCTTAAACTGGTGTTGAGGGAAGAATGTATGTGCCATGCAACTCTTTCCTCTTCCCCTTGTGTGTTTTTTTCTTTCTTTTGTTTTTTTTGGGGGGGGGGTATGCGGCTCTTTAGATGGTCCATGGATGAAGTTGTGCAGCTTATGTAATAGTGGTACCGCTGCAATTGAAAATTCCATCCTAGGTCGTTATTTTTGACTTGTTGCTTTGGATAGGAGAGGACTTGAGCAATCAAAGGTCATTGTTACTAAATCAGATAATATTTCTGCCAAAAAAAAAGTGGGTCTCTTTTATGTGAAAGAATTTTATTTTTGAGGCAAAGCTTGGCTCTAGGTGCTGCCATTTGCCATTCGGGCTGAGGCATTGTATGATAGCGGATAAGTTGATGGAAGGAGAAGTTAACTTGGTGGGCTCTTGAGATTGGGACCCTATTCTTCTGTTAATTACTGCTTGCTGAAACCATGCTGTGAGAGTGGATTTTTCTCATTTTGGTGCTAATAAAGGATTTAATGAAGCCATCATTCTACCTGCAGTTTAGAATTTGTTTGGGATGGAAATGAGAACATTCATTCACGTAAGCTTTAACTGTGCGTCTGCATTTTTCTTGTACGTAGCAGCTTCTTCTTGTCTATCTTCTACATAAATAATTATAAAATTGCTTGATGTCTTGGGATAAATTATAATTTTGAATGCAAGGATAGTCTTTCATTGGTTCACTTACCAATGCAGGCTATTCCCTCAAAATTTACTTTTTCTTGTCTGTTGGAGTTTTCCCCGCCATAATTGCTTGGAAGTATTGAGTATGAATGCATTTTGTAACGCTCATAAGTACCTCATACATGTGCTGGTAATGGTAGCTACCCAAGTATTAAGTTCGTTTATGGGGAAGAAACCTGTGCTTTGGATTTACAACGAAATGACCTGTTTCATTAGGGCCTCCATTCCCTAGTAATTGGAGTCCTTCCTTGATTCATTATCAGTTCTGTATCTTTAACCAAATGACCTTCGCAGGCTTTTATGACCTGCTGCTACTTAATGCATGATGCTTAACAGAAACTTTAGTGTGTTCTTGAGGAGTCAAAGGTCAATGGTTGATTCATCTGCACCCTTTCTGCCCCCTGTTCTAATTGTGACATATACCAGAAATATGGTTGGTTTGGGTAAAGTATGCATTTGGTTTTTCTGTCTGAAACAACAAAATTTTAATGACAGTTTGATGCACACATTGTAAGGAAGTAGTTCAATCAGTCAGTCTTGATATTTTAGATTGAGCTTACTTGACAAAGTAGTCTCATTCCTTTATGTGTTGCTTAGCTGATGATAGCCTTAAGGAGACAATAACTTGTAAGCCATGAATATTGATCATTATAGGGAGCTAGAAGCTAAAGTTCCAATTTCACCATCATGTTCCCTAGTAACCTTCAAATAAGTAAATAAAAACCTTGATGACTGACTTGCTTGAACAATGATAAAAGTCAAGGGAAAAATACCATTTATTCTCATTAATTAAGGCCCAAAGTTGGCTTTACGTGCTCTATGTAGTTGACTTACTAGGTGGGATAAGGCTCATTCTTATTTAAGTAAGGCTTAAAAGCAACTCTAGTACATCGGTTTTAGAGGGCAATAAAGCACCCCTTCTTCTTCTTTCCTTTTCTCTCAGGAGGTGGTGGGAGCTGTAAATACTCCCGCATTAAATGCAAATGAGAGAGTATTTTGCTCTTTTCCAAAATGAAAATGAAACTGTATTTTGTTACAATTTAAAATTGATGTGCTAAAAATTTAAGTAGGCTTTAGCTTGAGGGGGTGAAATGTAATTTTTCCAAAAATCAAATCACAATTATAATGGCACTTTTGATGTTGATGCACTCAGTAGAACTTTATTTAACTCTTTCACAGCTGTTCTTTCAGCTTGTTGACGTGGTTCTGTAGCATTTGATGATTTATCTAACGCTGGCAGAAAATTCTACTGATACATGTTTATCAATATGCGGCTTATAATATGTTTCATTTTAGGACTCTAGTATCTTCAATTCATTATATATACTTATTTTTTGTTTCCTAACTACTAAAATGATGCTTACTACAATTCTGCAGTTGACCTCAAATGCAAATGCATCTGGGGTTACAGTGCAACCTTCTATTCTGGTACAAGCTTTTCAGATCGTCATTGCTATGTTTGTCATGGATACATGGCAATACTTTGTGCACCGCTACATGCATCAGAACAAATTTTTATATCGTCATATCCACTCTCAACATCACAAACTAGTTGTTCCTTATGCAATAGGTGCCCTGTATAACCACCCTCTTGAGGGTCTTCTTCTCGACACTTTTGGTGGTGCCATCTCGTATCTAGTTTCTGGAATGACTGCCAGAACAGCCATCGTGTTCTTTTGCTTTGCTGTCATTAAGACCGTGGATGATCATTGTGGACTCTGGTTGCCAGGAAATATCTTCCACATGTTTTTCCAGAACAATACAGCTTATCATGATATCCACCATCAACTACAAGGGCTGAAGTACAACTATTCTCAACCATTCTTTTCAATATGGGACAAAATTCTCGGGACATACATGCCGTACAATCTTGTAAAGCGAGCTGAAGGGGGTTTTACAGCAAAGGCACTGAAGAAGGACTAGTTTTATTTGGCCAAACAAAAAAGATGGACTAGTTTCATGCAGTGAAAGTTGATCATGTGTTATTGTCACTTCTGAATTCTGATGGGAACGATCTTCCTTCCCTTACAGCTAGATTTGCTGATGGGGAAAGATTCTGACCCATCTCCAGGAGGCTTTCTAATAGGCATATACTTGGTATCTTGATTGAAGCTTCCTAGTTGTAATTCAGTTCATCTTGCGAAGGTGGCTTTGCTAGCTTACCAAATTCTCTTGCTCTCTTCATTCTGTATCATACTCATTATTTAATGGTCATGGAAATCTTCACGGTGGGGACAGTTGGTTTTGGTGTACTTAAACGTGTAAGCTCATGAAAGAATACCTAGTTTTCACGTTACCAATTTTGTAATTTGAAACACTGATTGATTTGTATTTTTGCTGATAAACATTTGTGGGTTATCAAGTCAATTTGGTAAAGAATATGGAGATTTTGGATTTAAACTTGAAATCTCTCTGTTGCTGTATCCTTAATTAATGTATAATCTCAATCTTAAAAAGGTTATGCATAATATGTTTATGGTATTTATCAAGTGTTGCAGTTCTCACTAATTGTAAGCTCAGAAGGCATTTAATAGTTAAATTGTTTCTGATAGATTGTTTCAATATTGAAGTTTAGATTGTTTCAAATTGACACTATTTTGCTTATGATATTAAGCAAATGATTTTTTCAATTTGAATTATAATTTTTCTTTAATGACGACATGATAAATATATAGTTTAATTAAAAATTATACAGTTGTTTGAAAAAATTTCAGTACTTGTTAATTTTTGTTAGGGTGCAACAGGATCATGAGAAACTTGTCTTGATTGACTTGTGTTTATTTAAAGGGTAAAGTGTAGTATTTACTGCCTTTGATATTATTTTTAAATGCATCTAACACCTTAATTTTATTTATGTTGCACTCTAATCTTATTTTTCTAGTGTGATCAGTCCAGCACCCCAATTTTTTATGATACTAGATCTATTATAAATAAAATTAAGATACTTGAAGCATAGGAAACATAAGATCAATATGTCATAAATAAGATTAGGGTGTTAAAAGCACTAGAAACGTAAGATTAAGGTGCCATAAATAAGACTAGGATAATGAATGATTTTTCACCCTTATTTAAAAAATGACTAACTTTCTTCAACTACTCAAATTAATTATTTTTGGGAGAATTAGAGAGAAGTACCAATAAGGAGTGATATTTATGGGAGAGAATCATAAAAATAAAAATTAAAAGGACTAAATATTTAAATATAAATTTAAAAATGCTATAACCTCCTACATTTTCTTTTATATTTCCTCCTATATTTTATTTTTAAAACTAATACAAATTAATAAATTTCACCAAATTAAACATGGTTTCTCTCAAAATTTAAAACCTACGTAAAAATCAATCAAAAAAATACGTAAACATTATTTAGTCATGTAAAATTTAAAGTTTTATTTCTTTATCAAAAATTAAAAATTTCTTTTAATTAAAAATAAAAGTTATATAATTTTATTGAAATTTAGATTATTATACAATTTATTATATAAACAATTTAAAAAATGATGAAAATGACTTCGCTAAATTTCTTAACATTACTTGAATTTTTTTATTATGTAATGAGGTGGCTTTTGTTAAATGATTTGGAGGGGTCTTATAAAATATAATAATTATCTGAATCCTTTAAATTTCTTGACATTAGAAGAATTTTTTAATTTTTATATCTGATATAAATTTCCTATAAAATAAAAAAATAAATTATACAATTTTCTTTCTATGAATTTTTAAAATCAATATATATAATAAATTATATTATAATCTAAATTTCAATAAAATTATATAAATTTTATTTTCAATTAAAATATGTGACAGTTTTTTTAAAAAAAATTAATTTTTTATAAACGAAATACAACTTTAATTTGGACATGAATAAACAATGTTTGCGTATTTTTTAAATTGATTTCTATACAAATTGTAAACTTTGAGAGAAATCAAGTTTAATTCACTGAAATTTGTTAATTCAAATTAGTTTTAAAAATAAATTGTATGTGGAAATATAGGAGAAAATGTAGAAGTTTTGGATAGTGATAATATGATATTTTTGAATTTATATTTCAATATTTGATCCTTTTAATTAATTTTAATTTTTATAATCTTCTCCTACAAATATTACGCCGTATTAGTCTTCCCTCTAAATCTTTTAGATTGCTTCAAAGTCACGTATTCTGTTCATGATATTGAGTGGAAAATTACCACCTCTAGGAAAATTACCCCTCTAGGACTCAATTCACAAAATA